CATTTCTGAGGCTTTCAAAACTGCATTAGTCTTTTTACATGTCCCACAGTCACTTTCCACACACCCTCTACTTCTCTAAACACTGAGCTCCGTGAATACACGACATTATGAGATAAAACAACCAATACAAATAGACATAGATATCTCTAGAAAAACCCCAGCTTCCCCAACATTCATATTTCCTTGAAATCAAATAAAATAGGTTACATTTATTGAATGTTTATTATGTGGTAGGCAACGTTCTGAGTTTTAATGCATGAACTCATTTAACCCTTTTAATCAAATTAGTGCTTTGTCATTCTTCTCATATTAGAAAAAAGACAAGTGAGTCTCACCAGGACAGAATAAACCATGCACTGGCACAAGTGCAGTAAGAGAGGGGGAGCTAGATTTTGAACTCACGTCCACTGCCCCTCCCAGGCCAGAGTGCTCTAGCCATCATGCCCAGAGACGTGTGACCTGCATGGTGTCAACAGTGCCATCCCCTCCAAGGTTCCAGCACATGGTTAATTCTAATCACTCCCCAATTCATGTTGCTTTTCCTCAGTTGGCATGTGGATAAGTCAGTATGTATCTTCATGACTATTCTGTAATTTAAAATCTCGCTGATGCTTTCAGAAGTCTTTCTGTATAACTGTGTATAGATTGTTTAATATGAGAGTAACCAACTGGCTCATCCCAAGGAATAGATTTCCCCAGTGCCGCTTTTATATCAGAGATTGTCTAAAATGAGCAAGTGGTGTTGGGAGCTCAGATTTTAAGTTGGCAGCATAAGGCCACTGTTCACTTCCCCAGTCTTCTCCCTGGCCTGGATTGCTTCCTTTGCATCCTCACTGTGGAGTAACTTTAGAAAATCATGGTTTCAAAGCACATGAAAAATTAATGCTCCAAAGTACATCAAATCCCTAAAGTACAACTTACTTGTCTTTATAGCAGTTACTGCTCTCTGAAATGAGTTCATTCGCTTGTAAGCTCCATGAGAGCAGGAGGCATGCCTGCCTTGTGCTAAGTAAATATTTGTTAGATGAATACGGTCTGTCTGTAGAGTGCTAGTTTCACCATTTTAATATGTGCTTTGTGGTGAAGTTCAAGTTCCCCAGTGTTCACTCTGACCCCTTCAAATAACCCCTGGGTGGCATGTGGTCCCCAAGCGTCACAAGATGGGCTCATCCCGATATAACATCCCTTATTTAGCTATTTCTTACTATGCCAAGATATTAATGTCTTGCTAGCTAAAAGGCAATGCCAATTTCCTTATTGATATGAAGAGGAATGTCAATGATCAAATGACTTTTAGAAAAACATAAATAATAATTCAATAAATAAAGTCATTTAAATTGTTTTTCGTGGAATTCAATAAGGGTATTTTCATTCTGATGTGAAACTAGGAGACTAAGAACAGTTTTACTTTCCTTAAATTGTCCTGAGTAAAGTATCATTCAACACTGTCAAGTCTGTGGATGGAAAAGGGGTTCTATGGCAAGTGGCCTCACAGACTGATTGAATCGTAACTTCCTCAGTGAGCAGGTCATGGTGCTCACGTCCCAGCACTGTAGCTTCTTTACTAAAAGGCTTACCGTTGCCTTAAGTGAGCCCCGCCTGGTGTTTCTGTGCATCCAGGTCAACACACCTTTGAAATGTCCCCTTTCTGATCCCTCCTTCTAAAGTGGACCACCCTCAAGAGAGCACATGACCTTAACTATCCTGCAGTCCAGTCCCTCTCTTGCTTTCTCCTGCCTTCAGGAAACCTTCCTTATGGCCTCTCTTTGATCTTAAAAGCATAAAAGAAACCGCAAACTGTTATTCTCCAGAGCCCTTGAGATCTGGCTCCCTGGCAATGGTCATCAGTTTGGCTCAAATAAACTAAAAAATTCACTGCACGTTTGGACATTTCTTAAGTTGAAAGCTCCAACAGGCCCGCTTCGAGCAGCAGAGAACTGTACTAAGGACAAGGACTTGTTATGAGACTTGTACCAGCATTTATCATTCTGTGACCTTGGTTGAGTTTCTTAAACCCTCATAACCCAGGCTTCCTCATCCATAGAATTTAGATCACCATAGATCACAACTCAGTAATGATGAGAATTAAGTGGGATAACGTCTGTGAAAGTGACTAATAAGTCACATTTTCTGAGTGTTAATTCACACCAAGGTTCTGCTAAGCTTTTTACCCATGTTGGCTCTTTAACCTGTATTCCCTACAGATGGTCCTGTTCCCGGTTTACAGAGACTCAGACTGAGGGATTAAGTAATTTGCCGAATGTCAGAAAGCTGGATGCTTCAGCACTGGGTTTCCAAAATTAGGTTTATCTCCATGGCCCAAAGACTGAACGGCTCTCCTTCTTAACCTCCATCCCTGTTGCTTATGAAATGCCAAACACAGGCTCTATCGGGTGGTAGGTGTTCTCCTTCCTCACACCTTCCAGCAGTGACCCTGATTGTTTTCCTACTCAGTACCCTCGGGAGGTACTGACATCTGTCTCCCACTCTTTATTTCACCTAGTATTTCTTAAGTTTTACCTGTTGATGGAAACGGAGCTCAATAGTCTGAGAGAAGAGAATTAGAATTGTTTCAACTTAAAGAACTCACATAGGTGTCTACGCAGTAGCTCATTAATTGTCCTTCCTCCTTTTTAGGGAGAGTTTTGTGCATCGTGCCCACAGGAGATGAACTGTCGACCCCGCAGCTATGCTGTGGCAGGAGCAACAAGAGCTTTGGGGTCCCACAGTCCAAAGGCCAGGGCTCGTCTCTGCCTCTGACCGGCTGCGTGACCTCCATGCAGTCTGCTCTCTCTGACCGTGCCTCCTCACCCACCCTTGACAACTGTGATGTGTACTGCCTGGCACACTGTAGGTACTAAATAAACACTAGTTCTCTTCTTCCCCTCAGTTTGCCCCACCCTTTTGGTGGCTTACAGGTTAAGCAACTGTAAGCACAAAGAAATGAGTTTATTTTGTATTCAAACAAAGCTTCTGACAATACTTTAAAATAACGGAACTGGTATGTGAAATGAATGCTTCGTGTCCGGGCTGCCGCATGACGAGGTGACGGGTTTATCTCAGTGGGGACTCCTGGTGAGGGACGTGTGAAGGCTTTGCTTGTGGGATTTCGCTCAGAGCCAATTTATGAGTCACCCAAAGAATGCAGTTTCACCTTTTTTCCTAATGGTTTGCCTGCCTGGGGTCTTTACTGGCTCACCATCTATCCCAACCGAAGACCATGGTCTGGGATGGAAGCAACTTTGTGGTATTTTTGACAAAAAGAAAAATAGTGATGTTTTGACGGTGTACTTTATTCCTTGCCTTGGGTTCAAATGCTCTTACTATTACAAAAGATGAAAATTACCACAAAAGAATGAAGATTTGAAGTCAGGGAATACTTAAAAAATCTAAAGGTAATTGCAAAAAAGTTTAATTCCACCACTGATTTGGCATAAAGAAAGTGACAGAGATATTTAGTGATAGACTCTTGTGGTGACTGTTTTGAAGGGAACTTTATTTGGAATCATATGTTCACGTTAGATTGTTGATTTTAAACATTTACCTAATATGAAACTTCATTGCACAAAAACATTGCAATTAGTTCAACAGGATTTACTGTCTACTCCTTGTAAGTCAAAATAATTTCAGAAGAAATGCCATAGATTAAGGTCTGGAAACATTTTAGATGGTACACTCTATTAGTAATAGAATTTTGGCATGCAATTCAAATTTATGGATAGTTAATTTACTTATGAATTATATACATATTCTTTAAATTATCATCACATGCATACATTTATAAAGCATGTGCATTATGGAGCAGACACAATAGCAAGGACAAGATGTGTGTGTGTGTGTGTGTGTGTGTGCACACACTCTAACACATTCTTTCCTTATATTGCTAGAGCATCTTGTGCATTTCTGGCACATACACGTGCATCACGCTTTGAAGACCACTGTTACAGATAATGAAAATCGAGGCAAAGGGACAAAGACTCCTGCTAAATGGTCATTAAGCAAAGCTGTTACCTTTTATCTCAGTTTAGCAACATTCATTACCTACATTAATAACCAAACACAATGCAGATTCACCAAGAGTGAAATTTGGGCGGAAATGCATGAGTGAAATTCATCATTATTTGTCCAGTAGACAAAGCCTAACAAACTTGTTAAAAACTGCATGCTGAGCTGACAGAAGACTCTATTAACTGTGACACCATAAATACATAGGAAGACACTTCCATAGGTTTGATTTGTAAAGTAACCAAAGTCAGATGCAACTTTTAATCTGGTAATTGAAAGAGGGCCACCATGATTTGAACTGACTGTGGTTAGATTCTGAGTCCTACAGAGTCAAAGACGCAAACAGTATTGACCAAACAGCTAGCTGTGTTTCCAGCTGTGGAGCCTGGTGCAGTTGCATCAGTATTTGAACTAGCATTGTCATGAGAAGCTACCTCACTATGAAGACAGTAGCCGGAGAGAAAGGGGTGGCAGCAATGAGACCATCTGTCTCTAAATTTGTGTGGGGTGGATTGCTGTCCATGTTCTTACTTGAAGTTACAAAAAATACTTTTATTCATAAATCCAAAGGACCTATCGGACAAAAGATTACTTTCTCATCCCAAATGGCATTCCATAGCAACATTTGGTACAACAAATTAATCTCAGCAATTTCTTCAAACTTCCTTATTAGAGGATAACATATAATTTTATAATGTTTAAAGTCCATTTCAATATGAAACAATTTAAAAAATAATTATATTAGAGTAATAACTTGGTTTCAGTGTAGAAAACTCAAAGTCATGGAGAAGAAAAAAGAATGACATCTTTTATTAGTTTGGTAAAATTTGCTGAATTTATATTAAAAAACAATGGGCCACTGGAAAGAAATAATCGGAAGCAGACTTGACAGACTGCAATAAAAACACTTAAGTGTGTTTTTAAATGGCTCTTGATTTTTGAACAAAATACTATTCTATAAAGGTTTCCTGGGGTAAACTTTCTTGGTTCCTTACCTTGCCGTACTTCTGGGCGTAAGAACCTGTGAGCAGTGAGTGAAAAACAATGATGGTTTCATCCAAGTCCCAGACAAACACACGCTGAAGAAAAAAATAAGTATCAAAGAATGACCCCATTCCAAGGAAGCAGAAATCTCTTTAGAGGTAGAAAACATCTCACTCTGTTATTGGATATAATCATTTTAGAGAAACCTGTGCTCCTCCATTACTTTTCTTCCAGACTTTTCAGAGCTAAGCCCATAATACCTTGCAAAGCAAGAGTGATACAAGTAATAAGCTTAAAAATCAGATATCCTAATTTGAAACAATTCATCCAACTATTTGATTGCAGTTAGTACTCGAAAAGACATATTTGGATTTTATAATAGAAGTGAACTTGAAGCTATTTTTAAAAAGTTTTTATGCCTCATAGATTCATGAAATACTGTAATACATGCAAACAATTAAAATTTTAAAAGTATATAAAGGACTTCATAAGTAATCCCTAAAGAGATAATGCAAAGTGTGGACTCTTGAGTCAGCTTAGACCATCAGATGGATGGTTTGGCCTGTACAAGTGAAAGACTTCAAATTACTGGTCAACTTTTCAAGATGAGGAGACTTCCAGCAGCCTTCCGGGTTCTGAGAGCAGCAGGGGGACTGGAATTCATGGCAATGCTGACTGGCGTCTTGCATGGCAGTGATGGGCAGGCCCTTTGGATTGGGCAAATGGTCCCTGCTGCCCACAGTAGGCTGGCTTCCTTGTCCAGGTCACCCACTCACCGATTATCACCTGCGGAGCTCCTGCATGCATTTGAATCTGCCACTGTCGTTCAGGTAAAGGGAATGATCTTTTATGAAGAGGCGCGATGACTATTACTTAACTTTACTAACTCTGGAAATTTGACGTTCTTTCTTAATTGCAGTATGTAGTTGTTTAAGCAATAACAAGGTATAGTTAAGAATACTTCCTTCTGATTTTTTATAATAAAAAATCAATCTGATTCATGTGGATACATCTCAAAAGAGTTTTCAACCAGAAAAAAATAACACATGGAAATTTTTAGAGATATAAAAATTTTAACCTGTATTAAATGATTGGAAGTTTTCCTATTTTTATAAGACAATATTTCCTTTCCACACAAATTAATTTTACCTTTCAAATCACTTGAGCCATACAAATATCGTTCACTACCTTAGTACTATCAAAGGAAGTGCTGCTCAGAAAATGACCCCACAAGCAATGAAATTATTTTTAAAACTCCCATTTGTGCCAAGGTGGATCAAAAGATGCAATTATCTCAGACCTAGAATTTGCACATTATTATAATTTTTAAGTTGTTATTGCTCTTAATTTGGCCATTACAATGGCCATATATATATTTGTATACACGCTTATAAAGTTTTAAATTTTATGATACTGTAAGCACAAAATATGTATTCCATAAAAATCAAACTCCCTGAGGATGAACCAGTGTACCTCCAGGTCGCTGTCAGGCGGCGGGGAGGGGTTGTTTTTGCGGCCTCTGCCTCGGGACTTTGACCCCGAACTCCGACACGTCCTCTCATCCAGGTCTTTAATGGGTGTGGAGGGGCTCTGCACCGTGTCAAACTCTCCTGTAAACAACATGACTCATATCAAGGAGAGCGCTTCATTCTGAGATCAGGTATGAGTCTTCATGATTAATTTCATAACAAATTCTTACACAACAGAAATCTTCTTAGGACAAAGAAAGTACAGATTTATATTCCCAAATACCCAAACTCTAATGCAGTCAACATTTTGGTAGGTCAGACAAATCCATCCCAATTTCAATCTCTGTGATCTCTTACACCTGAACACCTTGAATACTCCATGTGCTTTCAATGTCCTGTTTTTCTGCCACCTACATATTTATCTTAATTTAGATCTGTCCTCGCCACCTCACATCAGAGCTTGGGGGGGGTGAAATGGCTTCTGGATCAATCCCACACCTCCCTCCACCTGCAAACTTGACTCTCCAACCTCACCTTGCAGGGAATCTTGCTCTATTGTCTATTAATCAAACCCTCTCTCATCTTGCCTCCAACCTCTTCCTTTTCTGGGGCTGCAGATAAGTTTAGAAGCTCTTGCCTTTGACCTTGAATTTCCATCTAGAAGCTGTCTGCTGGTTATCTTCTTTTTTGAAATGACACTTCTTAAAAGAGCAGTGCACACTAGTGCTGTCCAACAGAAATGTAATGAGAGCCACCAATGGAATCACGTATATAATTTAAAGTTTTCATAAGCCTCATTAAAAATATATAAAGAAACACGTAAAATTAACTTTATTTGTGTGTGTTAACTGACCTAATTTATCCAAAATATTCATTGCAACACGTAATCAATATAAAACTTATCGATGACATATGTTACGTAACCCCTGTTTCCCATGAAGTCCCGGGTGGGGTCTACACTCACGGCAGGTCTCACTGGGTACTGGTCACAAGTGCCCAACCGCTGCGTGTGGCCAGCAGCACAGGGCTGGACAGCACATCTCTCTCCACTTCCTGACATGCAATTTGCCATAATCTGCCTTCGGCTCACCCAGACTCTAAGACTACTCTCGGGCAAAGTCCCCAATTATCACCTCACCGACAAATGCCGTAGATTCAGGCCTTATCTTCCTGGATCTCCAGGCTGGCTCCGGTCCTCCTACACCGCACACCCTCAGAACCATTATTTGGCCGTTGACACCCCGCACTCTCCTAGTGCTGGACTCTTCCTCACCAGTCCTTCTCTGCCCAGGAGACACGGACTTTTTCCTCCTCCCACTCCCCACCTGCTGACATGTCAGAGTCCCATCCTTTGACCACTGTCCTGATGCCACACCATCTTGGCGATCTAACCCTCTCACGGGCTAATCCCCTTCTGTGTGAAGACCCAAACATAGGCCACATGTTAAGTTTCAGACTTGTATCTAAATGATTTCTGCACGTCCCGCAGATGCCTGAAAGTCTGACATGTCTGAAACTGAAGGTAAGGCACCTTACGAGGTAGGGAGTGCTGAGCGGGGCAAACCCGCGTGTGTGGGAGGGCGGCTGGGTTAAGAGAGAAGTGCGGCAACACCTCACAAGAAATGGGTCAGTTTTACCCACGACAGCAAACATTTTACTCAATCTCTCTGAATCTCAGTTTTTTATATTAAAGCATGGGCAACGGCAGCTACCTTTTTGAATTACTGAGATAGATCTGATTTATATTTAATTGGCTTTAAATTATAGGCATGAAGTAAATCCTCTATGACAGCCTGATAGCAAACTATGTTACATTTAGGTTATGCAATTTTTAAACACAGAGACATTATGACTATCATGCTTTCTCACGAAATTAAAGTAAAATAATTATGAGGACAGCTGAGCAGATATTTATCTAAGTAATCAAATGTGAACAAACTAGAAAACATTTAGGTAATATTTTTTTCTGAGATGTTCTAAATAAATAGCAACTTTTACACAGCTAACTTGTGATTGTTTATAACAGTTATAACATCTTCTCTGAGAAATACTGCACATGTTGGGACAGCATCACAAAAAATGTTTGCTCAAAACACTATCTGCTCTTAAAATATTGCTAGTGCCATTCACTGCACGTGACTTTGCTATCACCTGTGCGAGAGCCAACAACATAGTAACAAGTTCTTCAGTTCTGAGGATGAAGGTAGCCCTGCCACATAGCAAATCATGTTTCAGCTTACTTGCATTAATTAGGCTTTAGGTATTTAAATAGTCACCAACTTTTAAAATATGGCACACCCAATTTTTTTCTATTTTTAGTTTTCTTAAAGGAATTTTCCTAATATTATTATGTCCTGTAAATCAAATGTTCTTTTTCAAATAAAATGCTGATTCAAATTAGCCCCCACTTGTTAAATAAGCTTATAATAATTTGGGGGGGGATGACATTGCATGCAACCTGTCTTTCTATTTATTATACATCATTTTTCAGGTGTCAACAATCATAAGGCAGCTTTGTTCTTGCAACAGATCAAGAGCTGAAAGGACAAAAATGCACAAAATCCCCAAGTTGATGGTTGACTAGATCCATAGGAGTTTGGCAAGCTAATTCCAAGGAATGGGGGGCCAAAAGCTATCACAGGAAAGGAAGTGAAAGGAGCAGGAGAAGGAAGGGAAAATACTATTCACTGGAAGTGTCTGGGCTTCCATAAAAGTAGGACTTGATACCACTGATTCGTTCCAAGGTACTGAAAAATTTTAAAAGGGCTTTAAGGATTTGAAAAAAATATGGGTGGAAGTGTTTTGATGGAGGTAAAGGCATAGCTTTTTAAAGAACTAAGAAGAGTACCTCCACATTTATTCATATTTGCCATGTACTGCCTTCTTTTTAAACAATGTTTATTGAAATATGTTTGGCTTTATTTACTGCTCATCAGGTCTGTGTGGCTGATTCACACCTGTAGCCTGACACAGTTGTTCTTCCCTTACTACAGCTAGAACTTCGTTATATATGGTTACTATCTATCCATTCTGTTCACGGACATTTGGGCTATTCAGAATTTTAGACAATTAAGAATAAAGCTGCTAGAAACATTCTTGTGTTTACAGACATAAACTCCTATTTCTCTAATATGTGTTAGCAGAGGGCTTACTGAGTCAGAAGAAAAGCATACATTTATGTTTAGTGGACTCTGATCACCTTTCTCTAAAGTGGTTGTATTAACTCACTCTCCTACTAGCAACAGGAATTCCAGTTGCTCCACATCTTGCCAATTCTTGAGATTGCTAGTCTCTTTTATACACATCATTGTGGGGTTATGGTGGTATCTCGCTGTAGATTTAGTTAGTATTCTCTTGACGGGTGGTGATGTGAAATGCTGTTTTTATATTTTCATTTCCCATTTGGTATCTTCTTTTTGTGATATAACTGTTGCCTGTTAAAAAATCAGGTTGTCTTTTTCCTACTTATTTTTAAGCACTCTTATTATAAACATTCTTTATCTATTTCTAACTCTACCTCCATCCCTATGACATAAACCTGTCTTTGACCCAGTGAATTTGGTCTTTCATTATCTTCTTTTAAAAATGGGAAAACTGAATACACACGGGACCAAACTTCCCAAGATAAAACAGCTTGTGTGTGGAATTCTGGTGTGATTCCAGAACTCCTGCTTTAACCACTAGACTACACTTCCTCCCCAAATAGTAACAGACCCTCCAGATCACAAACGTAATCAAGAGCTACAGAGACTTGATACAATTTGTGAGAGTGAGATCCAACAAATTCATCAAAAGAACTTCATAGTAAGAGAGCAGATTCTGAAGGGGCCAAGGCTATATCCGGGCGCCTGTAGCCACTGTCCAGGTGGAACCGTTCTGACCTCTGTATCTTCTGAAGATGCTATCCTTTTTTCTGATAAAGGGCAAAACCAGTAACTTGAGCTCAACTGGTCATTAAACATTTGTTGACATGCTCCCTTTTTTTTTTTTTTAAAGGAGAAAGCTGTCAATTCCAAAGCCTCTGCAAATTCCACTCAGGTAATGCACTAGGATATGTTAATGCTGCAGGTGGGGAAAATGCAGATTGGCAGAGTGGTTAACTGTGGTAAGTTCTTTCTATCTAAATCCTCTAGTGACCTTCTATTAAATGAATTAGCTAGCACGTTGCTTTCCTTCCTATCCTGAAGTGAAATGCCATGCAGCTGTGGAGCCTACTGAGTTCTGCCTAAAAAAACTGGCATCTTTTCAAAGAGTGAAGTGATCTTACTATATATCTTACTTTTTTTGAAGCACTTGTAAAGTTTAATTAGCTAATGTATTGTAATGTTTGCCAAGGTCTCAGAGTGAAGAATAATATTGTTACAAGTCACTAATTATATCCTATCAAAATTTAAAAATGTTTAAAATATTCTATAAAGGAGGAGCTAAAAATATCTCTAATGTGGTAATCAGTCATCAAACTTTCTGAATGCAAATCAAGAGTATAATATATACTTAAGATAATCCTTATGTTAAAAGCAATCTTTTATTTTAAAAGAGAGATCTTTATGAAGATAATGAACTAAAATATCTGTTGTTAATCAGCCCGGTAATGTTTCTTTTAAAAACACTGTCAAGCTACCTAATAAGGTAAAGTAATAACTGAATGCTATTTGCAATTTCCAAATAACATCGGTCATTACCAACTGCCTCAGGCATATTCTTGAGCCAACACTACACATAGTTGAATAATTATCCTTTAATCAGTAATGAATAACTGTACCTTCCATTCTCTATATACTTAGATTCAACCCTATTTTTTTAGGGCTTATCTCTAACTCAAAACAACCAGCTCTCTCTTATAAAACATGAAGTATGCTTTTATTTTAAAAATGGGAGAAGTCAACAATGAAAGATTTACGAAAAACTGTGTTTTGAATTATTGGGCCTCTGCTTTAATTCCAAAGTGCAGGGCTGGTTACTGGAGAATAATTTTCATGCTCTTAAACTAAATGTCTCACATTTCATCAATAATAGAGAAAAATCTCACAACTGTAAACGTGTTTACTTTTCGTATGTATGTCAGATCCAAAAAGGCAAAATCAAACTTAAATGTACCTTGATTAAAGTTCTGAGATCACAGACTATGTTAAAAATTCAGACGTGTGTTGTTATGATTTGGGTTGAGAGAATAATATAGTTACAAGGAGAAATAATTTCTTCTTTAAATTCAACAATCTGATAAGATATGGAAATTATCTATCCTGTCTACAAAATCTTTATATAACCCATGACCACGAAGATTCCTCCATGTCTTCTAGAAATTTTACAGTTCTAGTTTTTACATGTATTGCACATAGTATGAGTTACGAGTCAAAATTCTGATGTGTTTTTGTGTGTTTTTGTTTTGGTATATGCATTTCCAACTGTTCTAGTGCCATTTTTTGAAAAAAATATTCATTCTCCAATTGCCTTTGCACCTTTGCCAAAATTCATTTTCCAGTATATGTATATTGGTCTATTTCTGGACCCTCTGTTCTATTCCATTGCCAATACCACGCATTCTTGATTACTGCACTTTACAAGTCTTGAAATCAGGCAATGTAAGCCCTCAAAGTTTATTCTTTTTTATTTTAAAATTTATTTTAATTGTGGTTCGAGTACAGTTTTCTGACTTTTACTCCCATCCCAGCCCATCCCCCCAGTGCTCCCCACCTCCCTCCCATTTCCACTCCCTTAGTTTTTGTTCATGTGTTCTTTATATTTGTTCCTGCAAACCTTTCCCCTTTCCCCCTTAAATTCCCTACCTTCTCTCCTCTGGTCACTGTCAGCCTGTCCTCTATTTCAGTATCTTTGGTTATATTTTGCTTGCTTGTTTGTTTTGTTGTTTAAGTTCCTGTTAAAGGTGAGATTATATGGTATTTGTCTTTCAACACCTGGCTTATTTCACTCAGCATAATGCTTTCCAGTTCCATCCATGCTGTTGCAAAGGGTAACATTCTTTCTTTCTGCTGCATAGAATTCCATTGTGTAAATGTACCATAGTCTTTGGATTCATTCATTTACTGATGGGCACCTAGGTTGTTCCAACGCTTAGCTATTGTAAATTGTGCTGCTATGAACAGTAGGTTCTTTTGGATTGGTGTTTCAGGGTTCTTAGGATATAATCCTAGCAGCGAAATTGCTGGGTCAAAAGGCAGATCCATTTTTAGTTTTCTTAGAAAATTTCATACTGTTATCCATAGTGGTTGTACCAGTTTGCAATCCCACCAACAGTGTACTAGGGTCCCCTTTTCTCCACAACCTCTCCACCACTGCTCAAACTTTATTCTTATTTTGTAAAAATATTCTGGCTGTTCTAGTTTCTTTGCCTTAAATTTTAGAATAATTTTGATAATTCCTCCACTAACTCCTGCTGAAATTTTGACTGGGATTATGATGACTCTCCATTAAACTTGCTTTTAACTTCAAATAGTTTATCCGGGTTAAATATGTGTCAGCAAATACAATTCCAATAAGAAGTCAAGTAAGTTTCAGACAACAAAAAATACATTAGACTTTAAATATGTGCTGATTAGACAAAGATATTAGACTGCCTAACAACGATCCTACAAATCCTGGGAGTTCAGGGAACACTCATTGGCTGGAGGTACTGATGACGCACACAGGAAGGAACTTACACAGTCTCTCAAGCACAATGTTAGTGACATTCAAAGAAGTTAATTTAACAACTTTTCTAGGCTGTCAAGATCTTCACAAAATAATTAGCCTGGCGAAAGGTCCACTGACCTTTATACATCCTTTTCTATTCATATGTATACTGACATTTAAAACTAAAATCTGCTAACTGCACCACATCTAAAAGAAGTGTTTTCTGAAATGACAGAGGTACTTCATCTTGTACAGTGTACTAGCACCAATTAAGTAGCAGCATAATTGTCTGGGAGCTTTCAGCTTTGGTTTTAACTGTCCATTTTCTCCATATATATGTATTTATTCATTGATCCTCATCTGAGAACATTTTTCATTGCTTTAAAGGGAGAGAAGAAGGGAGAGAGAGAAACATTGATTGAGAACAGCATTGATTGGGTGCCACCCGACTGGGGACTGACCCAGGCATGTGCTCTGACTGGTAATCGAACCCGCAACCTTTCAGTTATGGGACGACACTCCAACCAACTGAGCCACATTGGCCAGGGCCATTTTCTCCATATTATTAGACACAGCAAAACATATGAAAGTATTTCACCTGGATGAAGATCTGTACCTGGTTGGCTAGTCAGTCCTGGGAGAGATTCCTGCAACTGATAGGTTGAGGTTGAGGATGACGTGCCATCAGCTGTGTTATTTGATGTCATATATGCTCCGTATGTCGATGCTGAGTAATACTGTGCATACTGGTTTTGGCCAAAGGCTGTGTAAGATGGATAATCCTGAAACAGTAATTAAGATATGTGTGTGTTTTAAAGCTTGAAAGAAAAGCTATCACTGTCAGTAAGATTAGTATTCGACTCTGTGTGTTTTGGAGTCCAGAGCTTGGAGATGATCCAAATGAATGGAGACTCTTTTGCGGGCACCTTCTGCGTGCACATTGTCACGAACTGCCCTGCTGATTTTGCAAACCAGATCTAAGACACACATTTTAATCTGTCTAAAGGGTACATATGCTTCACTTTGCCGTACAATTATTTATCCAAGGATGTACACCATCAGGTCTTAGGCACTTGAAGAGGCAATCAAACAAGGAAATCAGTTCACATTCCCAGCATCTGTTCTTATGTGGCTTCTAACATCACCTGCATGGAGCAGGTGTGGCTGCCCCTCCCAGCTTCCATGCACACCTCCATCTGCATTATTGTGATTTTTATCACAATAATTTTGCTTTCTTAGCAGCAGGTAAAGAGTAAATGAAAGGAGATTTCTCACAGGATACATGCCACCTGAGGCCATGACTTAGTTTTTAGTGAGATTTTCAAACATTTAATTTGCATCATTTATTATAGAGAAAAAAAAAGCACGGGATCAACTCCCCTGACCTGCTTTTTACTAAAAATTTTTAAGAAGCTTAAATGATCTAAATAATCCTTCAAAATGTTTACATATCAATATAATGAACAAGGATTTGTTGCCATAATTGGTGTTTAATATATCTAGTGTGTTTTAGCCCCAAGTGTTATGAATGCTGACTTGGTTAGGATGAGGCATCCCTACTGCCTGTCAGTAAGGGAATAAAGATCCACGTTTGATGTGATTTCCCAAAAAGGAAATTCTCTGTATAAGTAAACCTGTGTATAAGCAAATCTTGTCTAAAGGATGAAGTAGCATGGCAGAAAACTAAAATTCTATTTATCCATTAATTTCTAAATTTGATGTTCCCCACTATCACCAATGAGCCAACAAAAAAGCCTTAGCAATATTTGGACAAATTTCATAGCAACACATTTTTCAGAGGAAAGCAGGAAAAACAAACATTTACATAGTGATTACTTTGTGTCAGGTACTGATGTTCTAAAGCCTTCAGTGGATTTAGTGATTGAATCCTCCCAACGCCCTGTTCAGTATTAACATTATTTCCATTTTACATTGAAGTGCACAGAGGCACACGGTGCTTAAGTGATCTGCCCAAGGTCACACAGCCAGCAAGTTTCAGAGCAGAAACTGGAAGCCAGACAACCTGACCAGCACCTGCGCACTGAAGCGCTCGGCTACGGCCCTAAGGAAGAGGAATTTACATAGTGGAATAAAGAGTACCTCCACTTCCCTTCATTTCCACCATTGTCACCCTGGTCCAAGCGGCCTTCACTTCCTATGGTAGCCTGTCCATTGACAGGTTTTCTAATTTGTGTCCTCGCTTCCATTTTTGGCTTCCTCCAAAGTCCCTGAAGCCAGAGTAATCTTTTCCAAACATAAATCACACGATGCTAGTCTCCTGCTTAAAATCCTTTCATAGCTTTCCGTTGCGCTTGGAATAGAATCAAAATTCCTTCCTATACACCACAGGGCCCTACATGGGCAGAGCCCTGCCCATCTCCACAGACATGTCTCCCCACGGGACTCAGCACACTAACTTCACTCTTCATTTCATCCCTCAGCCCTGTGCTCATTCTTCACCCAGCCCTTGGAGGACTTGGCCTAGATGTCGGTTCCACTGAAAGGCCTTCCACAAAATCTCCCCTGTGCAAGTTAGATTTCTAATAATATTTTAACAGGACCTGTTCTCCCCCTTACACTTTCTAATTCTATATTTACGTGTGTGTTTACTGGTTTATTGCTTGCTTCTTCCAGTAGGCTGTAAGCTCCATGAAGTAGGATTCAGGTCCGATCCACCCCACCCTCGGCCTCATTTCCCTGAATACAGACCAGATCCTAATACAGAATTAAGTACTCAGTGAGGATGTGCTAAAATAATAAATTGGTATTCAGTCCATAGTCCAAAATACAGGCTGCATTTATATTGGGGCCACTGTATTTAAATATTCAGGGACCACTGGATCTGTTTTACGATATAGATCTTTCCTCTTCTTTATGAATCTTTTATCCTCTCAAGGAGAACAGAGTAATTCTTTCCCTTATGCTACCACACTACCTAATAACCTAAAAAATAAATAAATAAAAAAAACAGCAGTAGTCCAAGAGGAATTTTATTTGGTAACATGATACTTTGTACTAAAACTGACAGCACAATCCAATTATTGATTATAATTCAATCAATTAATGTTCACAAACTGTTTTATCAAGAAAAATAAAATTATGTTTAGTTATTTTGTTTAGTCTGAAACTAAATTATGTCTAGTTTAAGATTATAGGAAAATATGCAATACATTTTATGATTCCATGCCAAACGATTAAAATAATCACAGCTTAAATGTTTAAAAAGCAAAACTTTAACAAACAGGATAACTAAAATATATAGAATTACACCAAATCTCCCCCAAATTCTGGGAGATTATGCACTTATATGGTACTAAAACCACTCTTCCAAAATCAGAAATAGATGTAAAGGCATAAGTACAAAGAACTACTATACCTGTTGTGAGCCGGTGAAATTTGTTGAGTTGGAAACGGAATTATTTGCATAAATAGTAGATGATGGTGCAAAACTAGAACCTACAGGTTAAATAAAAAATTGCATGTTAAAGTACTTACTGTAAAATAAAAATATTTCACTTTTCAGAACCCAATGAGATAAATATATTTTTGATTTTGTTTAGACGGTGATATTTGACATTGAGAGATTTATAAGGAAAACATGCTTAACTCTGTCCCTCTCGTAACAACAGATGATATATAGAACAGCGTTAATGAGGATTGCAGTTAACCTTCAAGGCTTGAGTGTCTAGAAGTGTAGGAGCACTCAAAGGATAAAATGTTATACAGACTGAGACCGCTTACACACGACTAGAACTTCCAGACTACCAAACTTTCAAGTGGTCATATCAACTGCATTTGCATACAAAAATCACCTGAGTTAAACATTTGGGCAGGATTAGCTTCAGAGATCAACACGCAGAACCCGCTGAGAATTAAGTGGTGCTCACAACAACCCGTCTTTTCATTCCTCTGTCCTTTCCTTAGAACAAAAAGTGCTAGGAGCTGGGGCTCAGACTCACAGGGTTGATGTTTCAGTAGTCTCAGATTTGAGGGCCTTCTAGAATTTACTATTTGGTCAGCAATCTATTCAATGATTTTTTAAAATTAGGGTAAAAACAGGTAAACTATTAATTTGCAGATTTGCTTTAAAATATGTTATTTTGGAATGTGCTTGCTTTTTTAATATTTTAGCTTTTATTTCTCTGTTTCTCATTTCTGCATTTATGTTTCATTTTTATTAAGCACTTTTGAATTTTCTTGTTGTTCAAGTACAGTTTTCTGCCTTTTCCTCCCACCTCTTCCCCCCACCTCAGCCATCCCCACCTCCCTCCCATGATTCTACCTGCCCCCTTGTTTTTTGTCCATGTGGCCTTGATACATGTTCCTGAAAACCCTTCACCCTTTTCCTCCCATTATCCCCATCCACCTCCCCTCTGGTTACTGTCCATTTGTTCTTTATTTCCATGACTCTGGTTATATTTTGCTTGCTTGTTTGCTTTGTTGATTAGGTTCCAGTTAAAGATGAGATCATATGGTATTTGTCTTTCATTGCCTGGCTTATTCACTTAGTATTATGCTGAGTGGAATGTACTTGTTAAGGAGTAAAATGAAAAATTATTGAGGTGGCTGATTATTTTACCAATGGCTGAGTGGTACTATATAATCAATGCGAAATGACCTGACCAAGAATGTCCAATAGGAAAGTATTTGGGGGACTAAATGAAACTGTCTTCATGGTTTCTCACACGTGGCCTGTGGCCATGCGGCTCACTGTGGCTGTGGCACACATGCAAACATGCTTCTACCTACATGCCCGGTAAGGAGGGGCCTGCCGTCCCAGCTAAAAAGGTCTCAGTCATTATCTCATTTTACTCAACTGACTCAAATGTCAATTCTAGTTCCTTAAACATGCTAATATAGCCCCAAATCTGTGACTATACCAATACAGACAAAATGAGAGACAGGAATAAGCTTTTAATGTTTTTATTACATCCCTAATTTTTTTCCTGCAACTAGTACACAATGAGTAAAAAAAGAATTTCTAATTGGAGTCAAGAACAAGAGGAAAGATTAGAAAATGACCATATAAGGAGGATTGGGGAAGTGGTACAAATTATATAAGGATTCATATTAAGAAATGTAGTATCAGTAGGGGAGAGATATTTTAGGGATGGACAAAAAATCCCCATTCAACAATAAAAGGGACTCAGAAAAGTGCTAACTCAAGTTAAATGGAATCAAACTAGCATTGCCTACTTCAGAAATTCTGCCAAGAAAATAGTGGTTTTGGTCATGAACCTTTGAAATCACTCAAGTAGAAGCTACACATGGGACTGCTGGCATCGTGACTGGCTCGGACAGAGGTTGTTTCGCTGAAACAGGTTTACTGCCAATGTCACGCAACTTAAACTTAAGTATTTAAATTGGGTACGGGTCATACATCTTGATGTATATTCAACATTTTTCACCATGTTTCTGTTCTGATGGAATCATGTGCACAGAGGATTGCCGTTTAAAACCACCTTCACGACTGTACCATTCCAGTCTGAAGCCAAGGATCCTCCTTCAAAGAACTGGCTCTCACCTGACATGCCTCCTGTGTGGCTACTTACCTGGCATCTGGTAAGAATAAGGTGTCTGGCCCGGCTGTGGGGTGGAGAACCCTGGGCTGTAACTGAGGCACCCGCTCTGTAATGGAGACTGAGTCTGTGGAAGTCCACTCTCCGTCTTGATGCCTGGCAACATCACACCCAAGTCTGTTTGGAAAATGCATTCAATCACTAAATGACCTCACTTCTGAGTTGTCTCTCAGATTCGAACACACAACTACTAGCCAGCAGGATTGCCTGCTTATAACCAAAGAAGGAGAGGAGAGAAGGTGTGAAATACCGTAGGTGGGCAGGCTGTAGGGCTGTCCTGTCTGTGAGTACGCTGTGTAGACTGCCGGCTGCTGCATTCCCGAATACTGAGTCTGGCCCGCGTAGGCAGACATTGTTTGAGCTGCTGGTGTAGAAAGAATGTGTGGATAGGGCCTAAATATCAGAAAAATAGCATTACTGTGGCAACAAAGACTGCATATTAATTCAGACAGCTTAGATTCAGTGAAACCTTATAATAGCCAGCAACTAATCTTCTTCTTTATCCACAATATAATTTTAACAATACAGGAAAGGATGTGAGTCAATGTCAGGAGCTTGGACTCTCCTACAAGCCAGTCGAGTGACCTTGGACAAATAATTTAACCCCTCCCAAAGTCTCTCTCTCCCTGTAAAATGAGAAATTTGGTTTAGATATTCTATCTAAAGTGTTTTCTAGGTCTATAGTTCTCACTTACACCAGACATTCTAATTAATATGTACATGAGGAAAATGGAGCTCAAGCCAATTAATGAATATGCTGGTGAGCATATTCCTAGTTAATGTGTATGACCTAATGCTGTGCAATGACTACAAAAGTCATTAAAAAACCTACCAAATTTTTTTTTATCAAACTAAAAAAGTCTTAAAAAGGAAAGGTAGGCAGGAAAATAAGTGGAATGCCATTTCTCTTATCATGCCACATTTTAGATACTATTCCCAAATGGATAGCCAACCCCCTGCCTGTTCTTAAGGACAGGCACTGTAGCTGCTACAGAAAATAACATTAAATGTGTATAAATCAGGGATCCAAACTCTTGACCCATCTGGCTGATTACCACCAAATTAAGGTATACAACCAATACAGTTAAACTTGAAATGTCTATAACTGTCCTCAATAAGTTGACTACTGCATTAGTTATAAAAATAATAAAGCACTGTCTTCAGAAATATGTTTATTAGGATAGGAAATCCAATAAAACACTGTAATGATGAAACAAATTATGAAGTGATGTTTGAATAAAATGTAATCTTTTTAGACTTGCTTTAAATGAGTCAGCATTTTAGAATTTTCACTAAAAAAAATCAGTATGTTCTGTTTTGAACTTGATACTTTCCTCAATATGTAAATATCCAAAATCAAGCAAACTGTCCAGATTAAAGTTAGTGTATCTGTATTTCTAGATCTGTACAGGATATGTATATAGCCAACTAATTAAACCAAGTATCTACCTATAATACATTTATATACATAAATGTATCTTAATTTAAAGTTGTTACATTCTGTGAATACAGATTAATAAAGATAATTCCAGAAATTTTTTCTAACAACTCGGAAAGAATCGACTGACTACTTACTTGGAAGGGTAGAGCTGCGAGGAATATTGATGTGCTGATCTGGGACTGTAGCCACTACTTGTTATTACTGTAAAAAAACACAAAAAGTGCAAAAAAGTTGCTTCATAAATATATTTCACTAGAGCATACAAAACCAATTTTTAAAAATTACCATGTTAAAAAAGTTTCTAAAAATTCACTGCTTTTTCAAAAAAGAATTCATTTTCTAAACAGAAATAGATACCCAAACATTTTTCCTAATTGAACCACTGCAAGTTTATTCTATGAGCATGAAATAAATTCTTAAAAACCATTCTCTCCCCATTCTCCCATTTTCTCAAATTAGTAGCATCTTCTTATGTATTAATATACTATGAATAAATGTTTTTGATTAGTCTTTCATGATACAAAGATAAATTTTTTAAATTAGCAAACTTTATGTTCTAAATTCCAATGACAATGGCAATATATTGCCCTTCCCCCATATTTATTCTAATAGAATGAACGAAAATTAAGAAAAATGTGACATCCCAACCTTCATATTCAAATTGGCAAATGCTGTCATTTTCTATTTTCTTCCTTTTAACAATCAGATGAGTAATTAAAATTGCACAGTTCAAAATATTCTAGTAATAATTGAATGCAGGGTGATAATGTACCTCCTTAAAAAACCATAACTGCAAAATGCAGTAGCAGTCTTATTTACAAAAACATTTTGAACTATCAGAGACAGAACTTTTTTGAGAAGAGCATAGAGGTGAAAGTTGGATTCTATTAATATTTCATCCAAACGTGCAGCCCCAACCTGGAATATATCCAAAAGTTTGGAAGCCACTCTTTCCTTTAACCATCTGCCTTCACTAAGACGGATGTATCGCAAATACATGGGCTCTAAAGTGTTGAGGCGGTCCCCTCTGAGCCAGTCCATACCGGGCAAGCACACAGAGTGTCTTTATTAGGCCATCTGCTGTTCATTCACTTTTCAGAAAGATTAAAGTAGTACACAGTGCAGCGCTGGAATTAGTTTAGTCTAATCAATCATAGTTATACTTCAAAGTACTATGTCCTTCCTAAGTTGTTCGTAATAATTCCAGAGCTAAACTTTTAGAATTGTAAAAGTGACAAATAGGCTTAGTTTGCTAACCATTTTATGAAACATGAGATTTTTCTATATCGAAATGCTATTAAGTACTCTTGTGATCTATTGCTTCATAAACAGGTAGAATTTAATGTATTTAAAATGCTATTTGGCCTATAAACCCTGAGTCTGAAAGTATATTATAGTTTTCATAGCAACAACAGTCAGAAAGTATACTTTCAAGAATATTTATTATGAATTAATTTAGAAAATCATTGAGTATGACTAAGGTGTTATGTTTTAAATATTTTCAGCAGCCATTAAGTGAACTTGCTATAGATACTTAAAAACTGACCAGTGAACCATTTATTTTCTACTTATTTATTAAAACTTTAAGAATGTTTAAAACTTTCACATCAACTCAATGAGAAAAGACTGGTTTTTACTATACCACGGGCACTAAATGTACATCATATAACATCAATAGTGTTATTCCACAGGAAATTCAGTCTGATTCACTAATATCACAATAGTGAATACTCTATCCAAAATACAGTTTTATGAGGCTTAATTCCACATTTTTTGTTTCTTATGTATAAAACTTCACTTTGACACACTTAAGGCTAGGACTATACTAACTAGTTATTTTCAAGATTGTAAAAACACAAGGCTTTTTCAAGGCACACCAAATAATGAAAAGACACATTCACTATAGCAGCTTCTATTAAATAAGCTAAAGAACAAAATTATTTCAGAAAAATCCATATGTGTAAACACAAATCTGAATTTGTAGACTACTTCTTCACCGTAGTGAAGAAGGTGGTGAATGAATCTAGAAATCATTAGACTCATGTACCCATAACAGTGTGAAGGCTCAACCTTTAAACTTTCATATTAATATCTATATATTCATTTTCTAAATAGAATATAAGATCTTTGGCTCAGCAAACTAGAATATTCACATAAAACTTGGAGAGTTCATGCTTAACTGAAACTTTTACATTTTATTCTAACATAAATCTGCACATAACTGACAACAACAAAATTTAACTTAAGTGAGTTGAGATTATGCTGAACAAGGTAAAGACACTCGCTACACAGGCAGCCTAATCTCCAATACGATTTCTGGATTTCCCCACTGTCCTTTAGTTAATCTAGAGACATTACCCAAAGCATTGAGCTCATTATACTCCATGATTTCTGCCTATAAAACTAAGCAAAATTGCTTGTCTTCAAACTTTTCTGAAAATTAATTAAAACAAACTTTTAAAAAATAATCAAATTCTCAGAGAGTGATGTCAAGTGATTTTAATGTTTTATTCTTATCATTGTGGCCCCTTAGATTAGTGACCCTCAATAAGGTGGGGGAGGGGTGAGGTTGAGGAATGAGCAGAAATTTGCTTTCCAGGAACATTTAAAATGTCTGGAGACATTTTTGCTTGTAAGTGGAGTGTGCTACTGTCCTCTTGGGATAGATGATAGGGATGCTGTTAAACATGCTACAATGCAGAGGACATCTACCCCACAATAAGAAATACGCTGATTTTTAAATAGTGCTGCTACTGAGAGCTGCTGACCTAAGTCATTGTTGTCCTAAAGAGCTTGGTCCGTGGTACTGGAAATCTCTATATCTGACTTGTCCAACAGAAAAGCCATGAAAAAAACATATGCAGCTATTAAACACAGGAAATGTAACTAAGTGTGACTAGAAATTTGTTTTTATTTGTACCAAATATTAATTAATCTAGACTTAAATATGGTTACTTACTAATTCCATTCCGTTCCTTAGAAATACATTCATATGCATTTACTTTGTTGAAAGTTTACATGGGTTGTAATAAAGAATGAAGGAGTAATAAAGAACGCAGGAGTTAGTTGGTACCTATTTATCTCTTGGGAGGAGAGTGAATTGCTAGGAAAAATGTAGGTTGGCGTTATCTGTGGAGCACATGAAGTATTATGTCTTTCTGTTTGAAGTACTAATATTTATGTGACTACATGACAAGTGCTCCCGATTGGCGTGAGCTCATGAGATAGGATTGTCTGTAGCTATAAAAATCCAATATATGCTATCATGACATTATCCTTGAGGACATACCTTGACTTTGTTTTCAACTGATAAACGTTTTATTGTAGTACCTCAACTCTTTACATGAAGCTTACCCACAAAAAATCCTTGACCATGAGAATGTGGGCAAATGTAAAATCAAATAGAATAACAGAACTAAGATTTAATAACCACAAATACATCCCTAAGTTTTAATGTTCATCTTTCTACTATATACATCCCTCCTCACATTAAAAAAAAACAAAAAGGAATCCTCTCACCAGATAATAAACCTCACACAATATTGCAACTTAAAGTCAAGGTAATGTGTGCCCTGTGCGTCCACCTGGGAGTTAGTTATCAGGTACTTGTGTTTAAGAAGGACTGATGTTAAAGACGCACCACTGTTCTCTTTGAAGCACGTGACAGAGTAGCCCTCTCAGAGGCGGGGTCCTAATGCAACCAGCATGTGCTCCCCTGCAGCCTCTTAACCTCTGAGACCTGTCACTCAGCTTCTTACACAGGAGGCTTTTTTAAGCCTGGAGAGGAAGCAAGGTTATTTAGAAGGAATCAAATGGACAGTTCACCTCAAATGTTGGGGAAAAGGCAGTTTTTATGTCACTTCAGCGAGGACACTGACGGAATAAAGTCAGCCATTACAACCTAATTATTCAATTCAGCTATTACAACCTAATTATTCAATTCAGCGCTGTGTAAAACAATGACAAAGAAAGCCAGCTCTGCTTATTTCTAATAAAAAAAGTCAGGGGGCATTGGTTTGCTGTGAACTAAAAAAATTTAAGCAATATGATTCCAAATATAATTTCTAAAAATGCATAGTTTCATGACAACCAATTCTCAAAAAAGTAAATTTATTGCTAACTTTATAAAACCCCAAGTTCTGACAGCTTTGGTGTTTATGCTGCTCCCTCACCAGGAGAATTATGTGTAGGCAACAACACACGAGCTTTACCTGACCCAGTAAAAGTGTCAAGCGCTCCATCTCCAGTCGTGGTTGTGGTTTCACTGCTGTTCAAAGGCTCTGTTTTGACTGCAAGGAGAGACACTATGTAGAAGAATAAGGACACGTGAGTTTTACTTCTAAATTGGTATCAAAGATGCTGACTGTTCTACTAGTGGATTTTCTAGCTACCATGGGCATGCAGGAGAGAACTTGAGAAGTCGATGAAGAGAACTGTGTTAATTTAGCTTTTAAATGGACATGCATTTGTAGAGAGTTTAATCTAACACCCCTCCCCCCCTGGCTAAGCTAGCTCTGTTGAATCTGGCTTTTAAAGGCAGCCAACCTTCAAAAGTTGACACAACACTACACACTTTGCTTTTTTAACCCACCTAAAGCACACTCTGACATTACAGTCAAAAGACAAAAAAAAAAAAAAGGAGCCATCAGTCAGTCTTCAGGACGTTTGATCCAAAACATAGCAAAGAGATATACTAGCTTATAGTTAGTTTATTCTTCTTCAAGAAGATATTTTTTTAAAAGATTGCACTAGAGTACAATGGGGCATATTAAGGTACAGAAACCAGGGGTGTATTCATGTGTCAGGTGAAAAATTAGGCACTCAATAAGTTTTTTGCTTTTAAGAGAGACTAAAGAGCAATGCATAAGGTGTTGGGCTTTTTATGTTAATGGCATAATGATTTTTAATGAGTCACAGAGAGAATCCTAGAACAAGAGATGATTCTTCAGCAATAAGTACATCTTTTGAAGACTCTTTAATATGTTGTTTCTACGTTGAGGTGGTGCATTTTGGTCAAATCCTCACTTGGAAGTGATGCGACCTGGCACACATTGCTGTCCTTACTGAATGTGCGTGGGTGGGGGGTCGTGAAACAGCCTCTGCTCCTTTTGTCACACCATATTTTCCTTTCGTGGGCACAGCTCTGCTACATAGATCCCGGCAGCAAGGAAATACACTGAATTATTTTCTACTTAACACCTCTTCTGTTTCCCGGAATGATACAGTTAAGTCACTCAGAAGCAAGCAGAAGCTATAAAGAAGAAAGCTGAAGACTAGCCAGCCATGAACAAATACGACGAAAAGAGCGGCGGGCCAGAACGGACCCACCAACAGAGCAAGTCAGCAAGGTTACTCTGTTAGAAAAGTAGTGAATTAGTGGAGAAACCTGTGGTTATGATAACTCTCTCCTCCCACACGAACGTAATTTTCTGGACCTTCCCTTCATGAGCCCTATGAGTACCAATAATTTGGTATTCCAGATTCAGTAATGTCATGAAAATTTGCTGGAAGGTTCCGAGAACTCCAACAGGTTGAAAAGATGGAATAAAGAAACTTGGATTACTTCTCCTAGCAGCAGCAATACTCTGAGGAGCAGTGTCTACTTATTTGTATAATGATAAATAATAAATTGTGGTTACTACGTTTTAGTAGTAATTTGTATAGCGGTCCATATTATGCTTATAGCTGATCACTATTTAAACTCACCACTACAAACTTATTTACTACTATGTAATTATTTATGGAGAGCTTACTATGTGCTAGATTATTTACATTTAACTAATACTTACAACAACCTTGATCGATGTGAACCATTATGTCTATTTTATACATGCGGAGAACGTTTGTGTAGGCTAACTTTTCCACTGCAGGGGACGAGAGAGCTAAGGTCAGACACAGGCCTTTAGCTCTAAGTCCAGGGTTTCTCCACCACAACAGGCAGTCTTCAGGAAGGAAAATGGTTGATACGCACACCAGTGGCTCTTTACAATGGCTCAGAGAGCGGTAAGAATGGGGTTACTTTTTAGACGAAGTAATTAGGCACACTTTGTTAATAGTGAAAACTGCAAACCTGGGAATAGGCTAAAAAAGTATGTTTTCCATTTCTTCCTCATGAAATATTTTAAGAGACAAAAAGAAGTAGCAAGTTGGAAAGCAGATAATAGCAGCACACACTTAAAAGGTAGTTAATACACTCCAGGTGCCCCTGCTATGCTTTACAAACATTAGTAACTCATTTGTGCCTCATGACAATCTCATGAGGTAGGTAATGCTATCATCTTCATTTTACAGATGCGGAAGCAAGGAGGCACAAAAGTTAAATAACTTGCCTATAGTCACAGAGCTTGTAAGCACTAGAATTTGAGACTGGGTGGTACAGTTTCAGAACCAAACTCCAGACCAGACTGCTTTTGCAGGCAGCACTAACTAACCACAAACACCTCTCCTCTGTATCTGTATAAAGATGACCCAGAGTGTGGCCTAGGTGGGCATAAAGGCTCTCTGGGATGCAGTGACCACATTTCACTCCTGACATTTATGACAGAAAGACACAGTTCAAAGTCTTCAGCAACCAAGACGAGAAAGATTCTCGGAACTTCCAAATTCTAATCGTGGCCAAATTCCTACTTAAACTTATCTAAATCTATGAACACAATTGTCACATACATTTAGTTATGCTAGTAATAATATATAGGTCACTTGTGCATTGGCAGGAGGAGAGCAGAATGAGACTTGTGCCTAAAAAAGTCTAGAAGCCAGATGTAAAGATTAGTTTTGTTATATACTTTGAACAGCAACTTTGAGACTTGATTTCAGAAATACAGTACTGATGTCGATTAAAATCTCCTCAATTTGAAAGTTTCAGGTGGTCAAAAAACAGAAGGGAGAAAAGAAGAGCGAGAGTTCCTGGCTGTATTCATTATACTGGAAAATTCTCATTAAAATTTTAAAGGTCTGCATTTAGTCAAAGACAAAGAAAATTCGCTTTACTCAGAAAAGTCATCCCTAGAAAATATATGAGGAAAAGCATAAATATCAAGATGTGTTCAGTGTACTAAAATGCATGGATTCTGAAGTGATAACTCAGCAAGTGAATAATTCAACATTTGGAGAAAAAAGCTACCCATTAATGCAACTTTATTTTTCATATGCAGGTAAAAGTAAAACAAGAGGGGATGGGGGAAATTAATTATGCTGCTACAGAAAATAAATTGTTTTCACATTAGGTGAGCATGAACAAACATTTCTTGAACCCCAGATAAGATGCAAAGTTATTTTGGTCTGATTTTATAAAGAAAGAAAGGAGTATTTGTTAATAATAATAATTTGTTTTCTTTGGGAACAAAAAATTCAGGTAGAAAATTGATATGGGTATTATTCATATGATTGGTTGATTTATTAAAAAGGTGTTAAAATATAAAAAAGCATCTTACTATTTAAAAAAAGTAACTAATATAAAGTAAAAATTATAATGATTATAATTAAAACTTGAAAAGTGGAAGTTAATTTCATCAAAGGTCTAAATATATTTGAAATGTATTACAGTGTCTTTTGTCTTGCTATTGTTTTCTACTTAAAGTTAGATTTATTATATGCTTTTCTAAGGGCAGGAAGTTTTTTTTAATTAGGTGCAAAGCACTATTTGAAAGATGTCATTAATTTTTTGCATGTTACTATTTTCTAAACTTGTAAAAACCCCCATCCCAAATGGTTAGCAGTTATATTTATGCCATGTTCCAATGAATTTTTCTAACTGTATTTTATTTTTCTTAATATAACACATAAGTTAAATGGGACTTTAAACTTATTTTGAGAGATGTGTTGGATATCATTATATGCTATAAAATGGAAAAATAACCTTCTATAGGAGATTAGTGTCATATTTTCAACAAAATTCAAACTTACAAACAAATGTTTTGATTTCAAAAGCAGCAATTATACTGTAATATCCTAAGTTAATGAGTTCTGTAGTTTTCTAAATGCTCAAAATAAGAGTTCATTTCCATAAAGGTAAAATTAAAAAACTATATACAGCCCTTTGTACAGAAGCATTACTTCAAGAAATAAGTAAATTCTTTGGTCTCTCTCCTGACTAGTAATCTAATTGCCATTTGGATGTTTTTATCAGAGCCTAATAGTTTTTTAAAGGGTCAAATTAATACATTAGATTTTTTTACTTTTAAAACTAATCTACAGACTAAATCAAGTTTGTGTTTAAAGCAACGATTATTGTCAGCTATGACAATGATTATTGTCAACGATTATTAGCTATGGTTGCTAAATCACTGACTTTCTCTCCCCACATCCCAACTTTCATCCATATCCTCATACAAATAAATTCAGAACAAATTCAATCTTGTCCCTTCAGTTTATCTGTAGAACTCAGGTATAACATTATTGTGTACAGTTTTTGGAGAAAGTCTGTTTTATTATTGTAACAATGTTCATGTTCATTTGCTGAAATAGCTGGCTTAACCCTTGAAAAAGGTGACCCAAGTGATTTACATTTTATATTTCATATTCAGAAGTCTGCCTCTAAACTGGTGCCCACTTCAAAGAGTATATATATATATATGTATGTAATTCCAAATACACTCCTTTCTGAACCATAAAATTAAACATAGCATCATTTGACAGTATAAGTTTTACAAAGGATTTCAGAAGGAGTTAGATCAGGAAGGATACAATTTACACCACTGCAGGGGAACAGTAAGTATTGCCTGCCAGTTTTAATAGTCACTACAGCCTGGGATTTATGTTTATCTAAATTGATAGATTCACTCACAAGCCTATGAGCTCCAAGTATCTTTCATTCCTAAATACCCATAAGATAGTTAATTTTGTGAAATATTTTGATGAGGCAGTTTATGGCTCTCATTCCAAAAAGCAAATCTCAAAAGTATAGAGCCACAACAGCAAGTGGCTCTACGGCACATGTACACAACACTCAGAAACAAATTCACTGCATGTGAATCAATCATTGCTACAGTAAATATTCTGGAAGATTCTTTTCCATGATATATAGATTTTAAATGCAAGAATGGGCAAAAGTAGGTTTACAATTGTGAGGATGCAAAACACAGTTTATTCTTATATTATTTATTTATTAAATATGATACTTATTATTATTAACCTGTTTTTGCCTACCCCTGTATAGAAAACACCATAAACCTGATCAGAATATCTAATTTTGGTTTCCCCAAATCACTTCCAAGTATTTTCTTAATCTTCATGTAGAAAAACATGTTCCCTCCCTCTACTGTGCACCCACCCTGAACACACTGTCTTCTTGTCTCTTCTCCTCTGCTGGACTGCGGCTCCCTTCATGGCCAGTTCTGTGTTCTATAGGTTCCTGGGTTCCCATTTGCTAGCACAGAGCCTGCCATGTAACAGGAACTTGCCGAATTTTAATTGAGAAAGTGAAAATTCACTTTTAGATTCTATCCTAAGCACTTGCAGTAGATCTAAGTATTTTTGTTTATGAAGTATAGCTAATCATAAATATGACACCATTAAGCAAATTAAAATCTTTCCTGTATCAGGAATTAACTTTCATGTAATTGGCATGCATTTACATGCATCAATATGCATACACATGATGTATGCATACTTCATCTATAGTGTATATATGTATGCACACTACACATATATACACGTGTGTATATATATATATGTGTGTAGATATACATATACATACGGGGTCGGCAAACTATAACCCATGTGCCAAATCTGCTTTGTGGCCTGTTTTTGAATAGCCCATGAGTTAAGAATGACTTACATTTTTAAATAGTTGAGAACATCAAAAGAAAATACTTTTGTGATATAAAATTTTATAAAATTCAAATTTCAGTGTTCACAAATCAAGTTTTATTTGAACACAGCCAAATAATTGGTTGAATTATTAGTTCAAATAATTCAATTGAATTATTCAACTGAATAATTTGAATAATAATTCAAATTATTATTATTCAACTTACTTGAATAATAATAATAATAATAATTCATTCACACATTGTCTATGGCAGCTACTGTGCAACACTATCCAAGCTGAATAGTTACAACAGAGACCATATGGCCTGCAAAGCCTAAGACACTTACTTATCTGACCCTTTGCATAAAAAGTTTGTTGATGACTGATCCAAATGCTAAGGCATGATTACATTTACTCTATTCTTATTAATAGCTCTACATTTTAAGGGTTTTATACGTGATAAACATTTGAAAGAAAAATCTAGGTACCAATATAAATCTGCAGATGCAATTAAATAATTAGGATTAAGGCAATAAAACATTTTAAAGTAATAATGTAATATATTTAAATAGAAAATGCAGTAGGGTAGGTTATTAAGGTAATTCTATGAACTCATTCATATCAGTATAAACTATATAATTAAAATTACATTTTTTAAAATCTCAAAGTTAAAGTTCTTAAGAAGACACTAAATTAGTTTTTGTTTTTATTATACAAATTTTATTCTATTAGCAACAGTGAAACCCAGGATTAAAAATAAAATAGCTTATTCTCAATTGGAGAGATTGTGCACCAAATGTTTAGTTTATGTTATAAACATCTCACATAAGATTCATTAAAATAATTAAAAATTTCATATCAATATACCACGGAGACTATATCATTAAAAATCAAAGTACAGCCCCAGCCAGTGTGGCTCTGTTGGTTGGAGCCCTGTCCCATACACCATAAGGCTGCAAGTTCAACTGCCAGTCAGGCCACAGGCCTGGGTCGTGGCTCAATCCCCAAGAGGGAAACCTATGAGAGGTAACTGATCAATGTTTCTATATTACATTGATTGTCTCTTCCTCTTCCTCCTTCTCAAAAAAGAAAAGAAAACAATAAAAAGATGTCCTTGAGTGAGGACAAAACAATAAAAATAAAAAATAATCAAAGCATGCTTAACATTTTGTTACTAAAAGTTTGCCTTCTGTGGCCAATTAACATATTCTAAATGCAGAAGAATTCATGTTTACATTTTCTTCAAGAATTTATTGCCTAATTATGATTAGATTATTAATTAAAGAAGGTAATATTCTGGTTACTTATTACTAAGCAACTTACATACATTATCAAATTCAAAACAAAAGTCCTTGCCAGGGAAAGGTTATTAAGCATCTTTTGTAGCCAGAGATTGAAGCTCAGAAAGGTTCAGTAACTTGCTCCAGGAGACACAGCCAATAAGTGTAGAGGCAGGTTCAGGGTCCTCCTGACACACAGGTCCTTGTTCTTCCCATGTGACCACAAGATGTTTAATATTAACAGTAAGAACCAGAAAAACTGGATGCACAACACTCATAGAAAGGCTTCTGGTTAAGATTAGATATGAATTACTAAATATTCAATATATACACTTACTATTATAAAGTTGCCTTTTTGGTATTAGTACTTCTTTAAAACAGAACAATAGCCAGTGAGCTAGAAATATTTCTTACATTTTCAAGGTTTTTAAAAGTGATCAAATATGGGATATTTTGTGACAACTGAAAAATTACATAAAATTTAAATTTCAGAGTCCCTAAGTTCTATTGGAACTTAACCACATTAATTCATGTATGTATTGCTTAGGGCTGCTTGTGAGCTACGATGGCTTTACTGAGTAGTGGAGACAGGCAGTGTGACCTATAAAAACCTAAAATATTCACTGCCTGGCTCTTTATAGGAAAAGACACATGAATTAGAATTAAGAGGTAGTAAACTCTGGCAATGTGTATTCTAAGTGTGGAATTGAATGAATTTTGAAAGTAAAACTATAAATATATAGTAAGGGGCACGATGGTGTGTTCTTCCTTCACTGGCCTATATTCCAATATAATCTGAGGTACAGCAAGGCCCAGGCAAACTGGGTCCCCTCCAACTGCTCACTTGTAATGCACATTTCTGACAGATAGGGAGTTCTTCTTTTTAATCGTAACATTGGGTGGTTCCACCAACGGTGTTATGGTTTTGTTTTTATTTTTTAATTTCGATAGTGTATTGACTTTTGATTTAGGAAAAGGTTGTTTATACTTTAATACCTATTGCATAGGTGAATGCAGTAAATATAGTTCAAAACATTTTAAGAAACAATATTAATCTGTAATTTTAAATATATAGCTCTCATCACTGATGATTTTTACATGATAGGATTTTAAATATTAATGTTACTTTAAGTACCTCGACTGGAATATTGAATAAAGTCTCTAATATCACTTGCAACATTAAAAAGTCACTTTAAATTATGAAACTTCATAGGGTAAAAATTGTATGTGTGCATTATCTGCTTCAAATGTTCTGACTGACATGACTGTTGTGTTCAATTACCATTTCACAAACTGATATGTAGTTAGAAAAGTAGTAAAAGCACCCATTTTTGCAAAATTATAAAGAATCTAAGAAAAGAATGCTACCAATCTAAAGAATCTAAGATGAGAATACTAGTCCATATTAAAATCATAGCCCACTGTTATCAATAAACAACTAAAAGACATGTTCATTGCCCCATTTTCTTTACGAGTCCTGGACACAGAAAAAAGGGTGCAAACACAGAAATAGCAACAGAAAGCAAACCAGAAGGGCCAAGGCACACACCCAAACACATGCAGTGTACCATCATCTTTCATACTTGTTGCAGAAGAGGGGGTGTTGCAACTCAGCAACCAGTCTGCAGTGTTTAAAACAGTCATGTTGTCCCCTGAGAACAGGAACAGCACAGGGTTCATTGTCTGAATGCCTGCTCAGTGTACAGGAAGAGTCTTCAAAGCTTGCACTGGCTTCTGACCTTTGGCCAAAAATTATAACTGCATGGTACGACTTTTACATTTCAGTTCATTAGCTCTGTTTTAGTTCGGTTAAATAAGTGCATGTGATGATTAGTGAACTCCAAGGTCTGACTCCAGAATGCATGAGTTCTTTACAAATCTTATGGTTTGCACCAAGCTAAGTTTTAATTATGCATGTTTTTACTCTAGAAGTCATCACTAAACAATCTTATAAATATGCAATTCTATAATTAATTAGCTGAAACTAGAGATGCATGTTTAGAGACGAATAAACATTATAAACAAGAAAATGTTAATCTACAGAGGGTTTTGTGAAAACATTATTAAATACAGGCAGGTTGCAATGCACACAAATTTACAAAGGAAATTTTAGATTGCAAAGTTATTCTAAAATAAATGAAAAGAGGTGATCAATTTCATAGGTATTTATTGAAAATTTAAAAGAAAATATGATGTGGCAAATGCTGATATCTAGTAGTATGAAGTTTATAAATTAAAGCAAATTTCATATAATTTCTCACCTAGCGAATAAAAGTAGATCTACAAAACTTCAAAATGATTGTGAATAATTAAAAATGCAGATTATACATACATGTGTATGTATGTGTAGTTTATATATTCTGATGCTAAAATAAGATTATGTTTTCAGGCAAGTTGAATGCATTTTTAACAACAATAAGGAAAAGCATTTGAAACAACTATTACTGTTATCATATGCTGTGGAATAGTTATGGATTAATCAAATAAGAAGGCATCTGGAAAAACTCAATTCTATTTTAAATACATGCTAGATATTATTCTCTTTGAAAAGAAATTGCAGCAGATATGGATTTTTCTACTTCCAGAATTATTTTTAAGAAAAAACATATTTTAAGAAAAATTGGGGGTAGTTTTTCTCTCACACAAGATAAATAAGATAATTTCTTCTCTTCTTTGTCATTTTTTGTAAGAATCAGTGCAAATCCTTTGGCTACATTTTCTACATTTAAAAAAATCTTTCCAAGGGCAAATGCAAACAGGAACCCCCAGTCAAGGTCTTCAAGATGTTGTTGCCCAGAGCTGTCTATTCTTTCTCAGTGTTTCCGGTTTTACAGGTGAACCAAAATTTCAAGAAAATGAACAGAACAATAAATAACCCATTAATTATATATTCCTTGCATGTATTGCTGATTGTTTTACTGCTAATGAGATATTTATTATTAGCAGATGCCTAACATATGGAAGCACAGCAAACATTAAAATGTGATCTGGGTGTCTTCAAGGTTGTACACTTGCCTCCTGTCCCATTGGTGGTGACGGATGTGCTGCTGAGGTTAGCTTTCTCCAGTTTGGAGCTCCCCGGAGTATCGCTGCCTCCAACGAGAGGGTGAGGACTTGCTAGGTCCTGCATTTCCATAGACCTGTTAGAGCCGGAAACAAAAGAGCCAGAGTTGAAATTTTGGCAAAGGTTTCTCAATAAACTACCACATGTTCTACTGAGCATGGATGTGATCTCACAATAGTAAGGACTGAAACCAATAGCTATGACTTTTTGGTTAATCTGGAGAACAGGCCAGTCCATTAAACATTTATAAATAAAGCTTCCATGGTACTTAAGCCCCATAGTTTGTTATTTGTAACGGTATAAAAACTCAGGTCTACGGGAAGAAATGAAGACTGGTAGAAAGGTGATGTTGGCTACATTTTCTTTCTACAGAAGATTAACATTTATTCTTCTCTTTATTCAAGAAATACAGAGAAACGAAGCAAAAAAGTTAACACCGTATTATGTAATTTATAAGATGTTATGAAGTAATATACATGACAACAGCACAAAAAATATGTTCTTTTAAGGTTCTTTCATTTGGCATGAGGTATTACAATAAATTTAGATAAAAAGCAAGTTTAGGGTACAGTAAGTAATACCTACCGTTAAATATTAATAGAAAATAGAAATCAGTATAACAAAATGTCAATAGAATAACTGAAACATTTTTTAGAATGTGATTAATCTCAAAGAAACCAGGAAAAAAGACAGAATATACGTGAAAAACAGAAAACACATAGCAAGACAGTACATTCAAACACCATGAATCAAAGATTACAATAAATATCAAGAGACTAAGCACGCCAAAAAAAGCCAAAGATTGTAATATTGGCTTAGTAACCAAGTCGCACCTCTGGGGATCTGTCCCAGAAGGATCTTGAGCACAAGCCCACCGGGGTACTGTGGTGGGCTGCCCGGACCCCAGTCTACAACTAGAAAACCATTCCTCCCGCTGCGGGGTTGTTACTGACTGGCAGCTCTCAACTGAATTCCTGTCCAAGACTTGCCCTCAACTAAAGAGATTCCTTTATTCGAGATCACATTCTTTCAGAAAGTAGGCTTCAACAACTGTACTTCAACAAAAATGGGAAAAATACAGCACTGAAAAGAAAAAAAAGAAGAATGTAGCCTTCAACTACTGACTAGTCAATGAAAGGCTAGAAAGGCCACCCCCTACCCTCAGGGTCACAGGAGTCCAGAGCCCCCATAAGATCAGCTGAGACTTTTGTTGCGATTGCACTGAAGATCAATGTCTCCCAGTCCGATTACGCCTCCTTCATCCTCCCAAAAGTGACTCCCACCAACGGCACAACCCAGCCAACCCCTGGCACCATCTCTCTCCACCTCAGAGTCCGCCTATTGGGGCAGAACAGTGATAAGACCCAAGTAGGCTCAGGGTAAAGAATAAAACTGATAAAACATGTAAATAATAAATGTCTGGGCCATAATGATATCACACAAAATCCCTTGAGAGGAATATTAGCAGACATAAAGAGAGAAATAAAAAATGAAAAAAGATATGATTCATGAAGTAAACTGTTGATAAATTAGACTTAATTAAAACTAAAGACTTTGGCTTTTTGGAAGACAATGTCAAGGGGATTAGAAGACAGACCACAGACTACAAGAAACTATTTGCAAAAGACATATCTGATAATGGGCTGCGTGCGGTCCAAAATATACAAAGAACTTTTAAAACCAAGCAATAAGGAAACCCACTTAAAAATGGGCCGAAAACCTCAACAGACACCTTGCCAAAGAAGATATGCAGATGGGAAAGAAGGACATAAAGAGAGGCTTCACGTCATACGTCATCAGGAAAATGCAAGTTCAAACAACGTGACACATCCACTTTGCTACCTATCACAAGGGCCAAACTGGGAATACTGACAACATCAAATGGCGCCAAGGATATGCAACGACAGAACTTCACATTCACTACTGACGGGAATGCAGAGCAGTACAGCTACCAAATGGTACAACTTCCTTGGAAGTTTGTTTGGCAGTTTCTTACAAAACTAAGCATATTCTCACCTTATGATTCAGCAATCATGTTCCTTATATTTAACCAAATGAGCTGAAAACATACCCCCAAAATCTGCACATAGATGTTTACAGCAGCTTTATTTATAACTGCCAAAACTTGAAAGCCACCAAGATGTCCTTAAGTACGTAAATGGATAAATAAACTCTGATCAAACAGACAATGGACTGTTATTTAGCACTAAAAAGAAATGATCTATTAAGCCATGAAAAGACATGGAGGGACCTTATATGTAAATTACAGAGTGAAAGAAGCCACTACGAAAAGGTTAAATACTATATGATTCCCACTATAGGATATTTTGAAGAAGGTAAAACTAAGGAGAAAATAAAAAGATCAGTGGTTGTGAAGAGTGGGGACAGAGGAGGAATGAATAGGCAAAGCGGGGAGAATTTTTACAACAGTGGAAAAACTCTTTATGGTGTTTTAATGAAGGATATATGTCAGTACACATCGTTCCAAGCCCACAGAATGTATAACTCTAAGAGTTAACCCTGTAAGGTGAACTGTGGGCTTGGGGCTATCATGATGTGTCAATGTAGGTTCATACTTCATAGCAAATGGGTGATGCTGATTAGTGGGGAAATTATGCTTGTGTGGGGCAGAGGGATATGAGAAATCTCTGTCCCTTCCTTTCAATTTTGTTGTCAACCTTAAACTTCTCTGAAAAATAAAGTCTTAACATCAAATCAAAATCTGTGGTACGCAAATACAGCGTGGATAGGGAGAATTTTCTATCTTTAAATGCTTATGTTAGGAAAGGAGAAGGGTTTCAAATCTCAAGAAACTAGTAAGGGAAAAGCTCATTACACCCAAAGTAAGTAAAAAACAGTAGAAATCACTGAAATGGAAAATCTATGAACAACAGAAACAACTGAAATTAAGGACAATCTAGCTGTAACCAGAGGGGAGATGGGAGGGGAAATGGGGGGAAGGAGGGAGGGCTTTTCAGGAACAACTATAAAGGACAGATGGACAAAACCAAGGGAGATTGGAAGCATGGGAGGGAAGTGGGGATGACTGGGGTGGGGGGAAGTGATGAGAAGTAAATACAGACAACTGTAATTGAATAACAAAATAATTAAAAAATTAACAATAAATAATAAGATGAAATCCATGTAATATTCTAAAAAAAGAAACAATTTATAAATCCAGAAGATGATCAGAAGAGGTACTAAAGATATTTAAAAACATTGGAGGAAGGCCAAAAAACCCAGAATCATGTTCTGGAGGGAGGGCCCCTTGTAGTCCAGGCTTCCCCTGCTGGGTAAGTGTTCCAGGAACCCATCTGTACCAGTGTACCAGTGTACCAGCTGGTGTTGTTGTGAGAGGTTGTGGTAGGTTTCAGGGGATATACAATGGGTGATTTATGAGTGCACCTGCCCACACTGCACTGTTTGCAGTTTTTGACCAAAATGGTGTGACCTCCCCGGCTAACCCCTTCTATTCACCTGATCTTGCCCCGAACAACTTCTGTTTTGTTTTTGTTTCCCTGGATGAAAAAAGGCCTCAAAGGGAAATATTTTGCTGATGTGAAAGAGCTGAAACAAAAAATGGCAGAAGCACTAAAAGGCATCAAAATCGACAAGTTCAAAAACTATTTTGAGCAGTGGGAAAAAAGTCTTGATAGGTCTTTTTCATCAAATAGGTAGTACTTTGAAAGTGACTGAAGTTTAAACATGAATAAATACACATTTTTATCAATAAATTCCCTTTTGGGGTTGCTCTCATAACAAGGGAATATTATGAACATCATTAAGCCAAATAATACAAGTTAGATGAAATAAGCAAATTTCTTGAAAGATGCAATTTACAAAGGCTCATTCCCCCCAAAATAGAAATCTTATCCTTCATCAATTAAAGAAATTGAATTAATAATTAAACACTTTTAAAAAACCCTCCACAGCAAATGGTGTTATTAGTGAATGCTAGTAAACATGTAAGGAAAAATAATAACAGTCACTGATAAATTCTATCAGAAAAAAATAGCAGGGAGCATTTTCTACTCCATTTGTATAAGACCAGAATTACCCTGATCCAAAACTTGCCAAAGACAATATAAAGAAAAGAAAATTATGGACCTACATTTCTTGTACACATAGATGAAAAAAATTTAACAAAATATTATCAAATTAAAATCTAGTAATGAAAAGGATAATATATCATGACCAATGTGCTTTACCCCAAGAATGCAAGTTTGACCTCATGTTTGAAAATCAATCAATGTAATCAACAGAGTATAATTTCAGTGGCTATAAAAAAGCATTTGACAATATTTATCATCCATTCATGGCACAATCTCTCAGAAAACCAGGCAAATGCATTTTATTCCCCTATATGATAAAGACCATTCTTGAAATATCTATAGTTTATATGATTTTTAATGATGAAATACTGATTACTTCTCTCTAAGATCATAACCAAGACAAGGATATCTGTTTTTCCTACTTCAGCACAACGTTTTACTGGCAATCTTAGCCAATACAAAAAGAAAATAAGTTAAAGAGGTAAACTTTAGAAAGAAAGAGCCCTGGCTGGGGTGGCTCAGGGGACTGAGCACCGGCCTGTGACCAAAGGGTCGTGGGCTCAATTCCCATCAGGGCACATGCCTGGGTTGTGGGTTAGGTCTCCAGTATGGGGGCATGCGAGAGGCAACCACATATTGATGTTTCTCTACTTCTTTTTCTCCTTCCCTTCCCCTCTGTCTAAAAATAAAAATAAATAAAATCTTTTTTAAGAAAAAATTGTTAATTCACAGATAACATAATTATGTTAAAAGTTCTGAGAAATCTATTAAAAAATACTAATAAAACCGATGAATGAATTCACCAGTTACAGGTACAGGGGCTTTGCCAGTACTGATTGAAAACATACACCAAAAATTCCTGACGACTTCAGTCAGTGTCTCACCAGTTTAAGTACAGAAATAGCTGAAACAGTGTTTGCTCTAGAGTTTGGAGGTTGGGCTATTCATAGTTCCACTCTGGCTTAACGAGTTGATATTTCTTATAATTAAAAGAACCTCTAGGGTACAGATATCCATTATTACT